AGCCTGACCTTGGACAGGAAGCTGTTTAAATAAAATCAGAGGACACGGCAGGGGCTCCTCTTACTCCCCACAGTGCACACTGCTGACCTTATTGGGTGATGTTTTCCTTCTGCAATGAAACTTAAAAGGCGTGTAAACATAATTTAGGGAGTTTTTTTTTTTTTTAACTTAATACAGTATCTAAGCTTCAAGCTTTAGAAATGAGAGGGTGTAGTGTGTGTGCTGACACTTGATTTTGTAGTTTAGCCAGTAACCTGAACATCTCAGGATAATTCCAGTTCTAAGCCAGGGTGATTTTGCCGATAAAATAAAAATACGAAAATAAGGTCGGGTGGAAAATGATAATACATGTGCTACTCAGTCCCTTTTACTCGATCCTTTGTTAACCTCCTACTTCATAGGTAACATGTGTCATTTTGTTTTCTCTGCTTTGATGTTTATTTCCACGGAGGGACAGAGTACCAGCCACTACTCAGTAGTCCAGAATGAAAGATCTTTTCTCTAATTCCAACTGCCCTGGAATGTTGTTCTCACCAGGCTTCTGACTCGCTGATTTTCTTCTCTGAAGTCATTTATTCTGTGATGTAACTAGTGGGCCAAATAAGTCAGTCTAAAAAGTACACATTGATATGTTTCACAATTGATGGTTTAGAGGAGTTATGGAAATGTATAGTTATTTTGTTGCAATGGGTTCTGATATAATGATTTAATTTTTTTTTCTTTATTGATTTTAGAGAGAGAGAGGAAGGGAGAGGGAGAGACAGATAGAAACATCGATGAGAGAGAACATTGATTGGCTGCCTCCTTCATGCCCCCCACTGGGGATCGGGCCCACAACCTGGGCATGTGCCCTGACCGGGAATCGAACCAGCAACCTTGGTGCATGGGTTGATGCTCAACCACTGAACCACACTGGCTGGGCACGATTTAATTTTTAATATATATATTCAACTCTGTTGTATCAGCCAGCTATATTACTGCATAGCAAAAAAAATGCAAAACTCATTATCTTTAACAACAATCATTTATTTTATTTTATTTTTTTATCCTCACTTGAGGACATTTTTGTATTTATCTTCAGATAGAGCAGGAGGGAGAGAGGGGGGAAGAGAGAGAGACACATCGACTGGTTGCCACCCACACAACCCCAACCATGGTTGGGGACAAACTGCAACCGGGGTACGTGCCCTTAGCAGCAATTGAACCCGGGACTCTTTGGTCCACGGGCTGACACTCTAACTGCTGAGCCAAACTGGCCAGGGCCAATCATTTATTATTATAGCTCACATGTCTGTGCCTTGGTTGGAGGCTGGCTAATATTGGGGGTGCGGGGCAGCTGAGTGATTTTGCTGGGTTTCGCTAGATGCACTCACATGTCTAACGACAGCTGCGAGTTGGCTGATTTGAGCCAGGCTCAGTTTTGGGGGTAACTCTGTTTTACGTGTCTGTCATCCTTCTCCTGAGATCAATAGATTGTCCTGACACATTCTTCTCATGCGATGACAAGTGTGTACGTCCATTTGTGCAAATGTATTTTAAGAGTCTACATGTGTATGGCAAAGGTCAGGGGCAGCTGGAGGAGTCAAGAGCTGGAGAGAGTAATGCACTTTATCACATATCTGTTCAGGTGCTACTGACTCTTGTTGATTCAGAGGATCAACAAGATGCAGAATGAACCCCTTGAGCCACGGGGGCTTCTGTCTGGTGATTAGCATCCAGAGGCATCGAGCAGCACAGGAGGAAGCAGGCCATCATCCACGTGTGAACATCCAGGTGCAGCCTGTTCCCAGTATAGGCGACTTAGAAATAGCATAAAGTTTAAAGACAAAGGTGTCACGTGTGTTCTGGATGATTCTCAAGGTGCACTTTTGGCATAGTTCCTCTAGTCTTTTTTTCCTGTTACTTTCTTCATGAAGAGTCTACACATCAATATCCAGGTGTTTTCTTAACATTTTATCATCAGTCTTTGCCTTGTTATTAAAGAGGCTTAATACATGTCGTATTCCTGGCCATATAGATATTCCATTGTGTGGGTGCACCATGATTTGTTAACTTTGCCTTTGTTCCTTAATGCTTTAGTTATTTTCTGTCTTTTGTGATGATCAATAATCCTGTCGTGAGCATATTTGTGCACACATCTTTATCTACATGTTTAGTTGTTTCTTGAATGGAAAGAATACTTACCGACTGGGAGTTCAAGATCTGGGTCCTGCCACTAATTTGCATTGTGCGTGTTAGTTTCCTCATCTATAAAATGATGCGTTTGAGCTTGATGGCCGTAAACGCCTAACCCAAAGAGTATCTTCCAAGGTAGAGGACTAAACTGCTGTATTGGAGCAGGAGCGTGAGGGCAGTACTGCTGTTGGTCCTCAAAAAAGCTCAGGGGAGAAGAGGTAGTTCCTCCGACTTCTCGCCTGAGAGAGTTCGGCTGTGTTTGAGAGAGCTCGTTTTGTTTCATGGTTCAGATGTCATTATTTTCATTATTTTTCCTTCAGTCTCCATCTCTGATAGAGCAATGCCTTCATATACATATGCATTTCTTTTCTTTTAAAACAGGGGTACAGGACACTGAACATTAAGCACATAAACTAGCTTGACCTATTTTATAAAAGTGTGTGCCTTGAGAAGGGTTTAGTGCGATTATTATCATAATTGTGTCTTCGTGCTGTCATAACTCTGTGTTTGCTTTTTGTGTTTCTTTTTGCCTTCTCCTTCGTTTGCCTTGTGGCTTAAGATTCATCACAGTTATCACAACTCCATGGCCAGGGATCTGGCAGAGACGTCCATATGTCATTGCTGGATGGAGACCGTGTGGTCTCTGCTGTCTCTCTCTCCAACCCTTCCCCACATCTCTCTTCAGTGTGTCTTCCTTGCAGGTGACGGTCTGATAGTTCCTGAGCTCCTTTCGGGAGAGGCGTTAGAATCTTCCTTTGGCTCCATCATGCAGCTGCGTCTCGGGGCTGAGCTGGGGCGCCCATCTGGCCCGCAGAATTCTGTGGTCTCCCTCCCCTGGCTGCCATCAAAGGCCCTTGGTTTCCTCCCCTCCCCCTCCGCCAGGATGTGGTGCTTACCCTGAGAAAGCTGGAAATTCCCCTTCACTCTGCCACACTCAGCAGCCTGATAAAACTAGCCCTGCAAGCAAAACATCTTCTTGCCCATCTTCATTTCACTTCAGGAAATAAATTGGGGCTGGGATAATTAAGTCAGTTATAAACTGGATTTAGGGGCAGATCATGTTTCTTTGTGAATGTGAATCTCACTCTTTCCTGTGTCATGAAATACCATTTAATAATTGTGAACTTTAGCCTGGCCAGTGTGGCTCACTGGTTGAGCGTAGACCCATGCACCAAGAGGTCGCCGGTTCAATTCCCGGTCAGGGCACATGCCCAGGTTGTGGGCCAAATCCCCAGTGGGGGGCACATGCAGGAGGAGGCCAATCGATGTTCTCTCTCATTGACGTCTCTCTCTCTCTCTCTCTCTCTCTCCCCCCCCCTCTCTCCCTCCCTCTCTCTGTAAAAAAGATAAATAAAATAATTTGGAACTTTAGTTTTTCACTTGGGTGACCCCTCTCTCTCACCCCTGGCAGTAGTGGGTGATTTTCTTGTACGTGTTTATGAGAAAGCTGGAGTCCAGTTCTCCTGTGTTAAGTCCTTTCGTGATGTGAATGACTCGCCCCCTGAGCAGTAATGGCTCCCCGAGCATGTGCTGCGAGTGTTGAAACGTCCTCACCACGCCAGAGAGCGTATCGTTGCTTTATTTGCTCCTCATTTTACTCAAACGGGGATTAGACAAGGAAGGCGGATTTCAGGGAATCCCTGACCTGTTTTCTCTTGTTCTGTGCCTGTGTGGAGTCTCCTTGTCTCCCCCCCCTCTCTCCCCCATCTCCTCCCTGCTCTCCCAGGGCTGAGCTGAGGTTGCAGGTGAGGTCGCGCAGTGCCGCGTGGGGTCCTCGAGAATGTGCGTTAAGTGGCAGAGGTGCTGCTGTCTGCTGCGTGGTGTCGCTGTATTGCTGCCCCCACGCCCTGTCATGATCACAAACGCCAAGGGCAAACCAAGACCCAGACTCACCAAGACCCAGCCCTTTTCTCTGGATGAGCCCTTTTCTCGTCCATTTCAGCAAGGACAGGCGTTGGTCACAAACTGGTTTCCCAGGGGACTGGGTAACGTTCTGGAAGTCAAAGTCTGGTTTAAAGCATACTAGGGCTGTAGGGAAACAAAAGAAAACAAAAGACAGAGAGTGAGAAGAAACAAAAAAAAGAAAAAAAAGGAGAAAACAAATATCTGTCCATTGGGAGAAGAATAGAGATACCTCCTAACATTGTCTGTGGCCCTCTCTCCTGAGACCCTGGTTGCCAACCATTTGTGTCTTTTTTTCTTATTTTAAAATGTGCTTATTTATTTATTTTTATATAGATAACACATTAACTTGATTTGAAAACCAAAAAGTATGAAACCTGACACATTGAAATTCTCCTATTCTATTTCCCAACCACCCAGCTTCCTTCCTGTGTGTACAGGGAGCCGATTTCTTTCTTTCATATGGATCCTTCCAGAGTCCTTTTAAAATATATATATATATATATATATATATATATATATATATATGTTTTTATTGATTTTCCAGAGAGAAGGAAGGGAGAGAAAGATAGAAACATTGATATGAGAGAGAAACATCGACCGGCTGCCTCCAGGCATGTGCCCTGACCCGGAATCGGGCCGGGACCTCCCAGTCCATGGGAGGACACTCAGTCCACTGAGCCACACTGGCCGGGCGGATCTTTCCAGAGTTCTTTAGGAATACTTACACTCGAGTATGGATTCTTACTTTGTCATGTATTCCTTCATGCATTTATCTCCTCTCACACACACTCATTTATTCTACACTCAGTAATTCTTAGTTGGAGTTTTTTTCCCCCTAGGGAAAAGGTCAGTGGTCATTTGTTTTACTTACACCTGATGCCTTGAGCCTGTTCACATGTGTGCCTGTCTTGTTCCCACAGATGAAGCGGAAAGTGAGAAATGGTACCTGTCCGCAGACTTTCCTTCGACCACCATCAAGACCGAGCCCATCACAGAGGAGTCACCCCCAGGACTTGTTCCCTCTGTCACTCTGACCATCACGGCCATCGCCACCCCTTTTGAAAAGGAGGAACCTCCTCTGGAAATGAATCCTGGGGTATACGCAATTGTCTCTAGATAAACAGATTAGATCAAGAGACCTAGATTCTCATTCTCTAATAAGGCATTTAATCTGTTGGGAGCTACTGGCTGTATGTCTAAGGATATGTAACTATGTGTGAATCAAGGATACGTTGATTTGCTGTCAGCACTGATTATATTGTTTCCTTTAAAGGCATTGTCCAGAAAAATTGGTAGCAAGTATGATTTTTGTGTTTCTATGATTGCTATTACAAAGTAAAAAAAAATAGATATTCATGGTAAAAAAAAAAAAAAAAAAAGAAAAAGAACTTCTCCATGGGTTGCTTTTTAAGCCAGTGGCAAGGGCCTGGTTAAGATGATGGTGCCACCCATGGCGTACAGAGCCACAGCTACTGGGAATGCTAGTTCCTGGGTAATGTTTGACTTTCCTGCTGCAGTGCTGAACCTCAGTGACCCAATTCCGGAATCTCCCATCTATTAATTCCTATCGTGTTGCCCATGGAAAGCATAAGAAATTGGCAATTTCTTCCTTGCTCGATTCCATGCCTACAGCAAGTAGAATTTTGCCTTCTCTCCAGGTATTTCCATTGTCTGTTGATGTTCCAGAATCATTCTTGTGAATCTTCTTACAGATGTTGGAGTCAGTTCTAACTTTTCTTAAAATCGCAGGTGACAAGCAATGACTCCACCAACATTCTTTTTTTTTTTTTTTTTATCCTCACCCGAGGATATTTTTCCATTTTTTGTACAGATAGAAAGGGAGAGAGAGAGAGAGAAACATCGACGTGAAAGGGACACATCAAGTGGCTGCCACCCGCACGACCAACCAGGGCCGGGGACAAACTGCAACCGAGGTACGTGCCCTTAGCGGGAACCGAACCCGGGTCTCTCCGGACCGCAGGCCGACGCTTTAACCACTGAGCCAAACTGGCCAGGGCTCCACCAACATTCTTTTTAAATTTTTTTTATTTGTGTAAATGTGTTATTATTGATTTTTTTAGAGAGAGGAAGGGAGAGGGCGATAGAAACGTCGATATGAGAGAGAAACATCCCTCGGCTGCCTCCTGCACGCCCCCCACTGGGAATCAAGCCCGCAACCCAGGCATGTGCCCTGACTGGGAATCAAACTGGGACCTCTCAGTCCTTGGGATGATGCTCAATCCACTGAGCCACACTGACCGGGCTCCACCAATATTCTTTAAGTCAGACCTCTGAGCACAGTGTAGTCACCTACCTATCCAGGACCATGTGGCACAGAGCAGTGGAGCCACCCCGCTTGGCCGCCTGCTCATTCTTACTGCTCTTTACAGTCCACTGATGAGAAGACAAGGGAGCAGGCAGAGCCTCTGCAGCTGCCTACGAGGGCTCCTTGCTCGGGAGCTGCCTCAGTCTCTTCATTGTACTGGGCTCCTGGCAGCACAGATTTTACTTCAGCTGGTTTAAGTATGTGGTCAGGGTCATGCTCCCTGTGCATGGATCAGATACCTTTTCTCTTTTTCCTACTGAGTATTTCTCAGGTAGATGCTCTCGATCACCAGGAAGGCTGGAGAGAATGAATGAGGCATGGTTCACCCCATGCGTACTCAGCTCAAACTGGTGCAGGCTTGAGTCACACTGAACATTTCTCAGTCTATTTTGTGATGAAATGCATTTCTAGTGCCATAAAAACAGCAGAAAGGGGACTCGTAAGTGAGCCTTGGGCTTTCAGTTTGAGAATTCTGAGGGTTGCATCTGCTCTAATGCCAGGTTTGGCAGTGAGAGGGAAGTTAGGCCTAGACCCCCTCCCTGGCAAAGCCACCTGTGCTCAGCCAGACCTCAGCCAGCTCCGGGGCTGTCCCTCAGAGGAAGACGCAGATGACAAATAGCTCCCTTGGGTATTTCATTGGGGTTGTTACTGGTTGTTAAAAACTGTGTTTGAAATTCTTCCTTTAGGTTGACTCCTCGTGCCAGACAGTCATCCCTAAGATTAAGCTGGAGCCTCATGAAGTGGATCAGTTCCTCAACTTCTCTCCCAAAGAAGGTCTGTCTCCTCTCCTGTGCCCCCTCGGTTACCAGGTGCCGGTGCAGGTCTGGAGAGAAAGGGAGTGTGGGAGAAAGAGCTGGGGCCAGTCGGTCCAAAGCCATCGCTTGCTTCTTGAAATAGCTGTTTTGAAAAATCTTGATTCCAAAGACAAATGTCAAAAGCTACATTTTATTTTTCCGTATATGTACAGGCTTAATTTTCAGCTAAATCTCGTATGGTACTTGGTCTCCTAGCCAGGGTGATTTTTCAAAACCTTTCTAGACTGCTGTCACTTGGATGGAGACAAACAACAGTGCGGCCTCATGCCATCCTGGCGGGAACCTGTGGACACAGCTGATCCGTAGAGACAAATAAGCAGACACCCCACAGTCACCCATTGAAACAACTCTAGCTTAAACACTTTGTGAAATGAATTCACAATGTATCTGTCTGATCAAGTCAGTGTCTTTCGAGGTTGACTTTGGATGACAGCAGTTGCAAGGAGCCTGCTCACTGTTTTTAATGTTCGTGCACCTCGTGGGCTTCTTGTCATCCATTCAGAACTCAGTGTCACACTTGAAGATGTCGTAGTTTCACATTGTTCTGTCTCTATGTCATTTTCTTTCTGACTTCTCTCTCTTGTTTCCATAGGACACCCATAGATAGGGAACCTGACTTCAGACCCCTAAGTCGCATAGAGACTAGCGAAGGTCTCTCTGCCTTGTTTATTCAGATCCTCCTGCACAGGCCCTGCTCTTTTTGATTCTGTGTCTTCAGCCATGCTGTGACCTTCCTTTTATTTATATAAGGATAGTTCATTAGTGTGGTCAACAGATATGACATTCATATAAGCGTTTACCATAGAAGAGGTGTGTGTGCCGTGGTATATACGTAATGTGTATATGACCAGTTCTCAGACACACAGTCTATCTTCATCCTACTAGAAACAAATTTAGGATGTGATTGGGACCATTTAATCAGGGTTGGCACTTGCCTTTACAATCAGTTCAAAAAAGGATTACATTTAAAAAATTAATAATGTTGACTAGAATCCATATTGAGACAGTATTTCTTTGCACCGAGTGATACATCGTTGTGCCTTTCAGCTTTAGATACTGCTGTAGTTTTTACTTTGTATTTTTATGACTTGGGTTATTACTATCAGATACATGCTCTTTTAATTTATGTTGCGGTCTGCTTCAGAAAGGGTAGTAACTGTTCGCCAGTCCCACAGTGGCTTTGGAATCTGGGGTCACTGGAGGACGGTGTCTCAAGGGGAAAGAGCAGTCCTTTCTTGGTACCCTAGACAAACAGAGATCAGGAGATTCCGTACCCTTGAATGCCTCAGAGCTTCTAGGCAGAGGAGCTTGTGGTCACAGCCCTTTTAGTAACCTAAGCGCCGCATTTCAATTGGTATTTAGAAATCTGATACTGAGGCGCCTGTGGCCAAGTCAGGAACTAATATGTAGGGAAGAGGAGATTCAAGTTTGCTTTGCTTTTCTTGTTGTTTCTGTGTTTTTGTTTGGTTGGTTGTTTGTTTTGGGGGTGGGGTGCCCTCTACTTAAAAAGGAGAAAAGTATTAGAATAATTTGGGCTATGCCAAGTGAAAGGGACAATTAAGCACTAGGAACTCCTGGCTCGCTCTCCGGATGTCCCAGCCCCACGTGGGAGACAGCCAGAATCCCTGATAGGTTCGTTTGCTCTCGTTTTTGTTCGTTTGTGAGCATTTTACAATGCCTTTTCAATAAGCATTGCTGGAAGATAAACCGAGGCATATTACACATGTTGAATTTACTGGAGCAAAAATTGATTAGATCCGGGCAGCACCAAACCAGAAGTGGCTAGAAGTGGTCCACCATCGAGCTCAGGGAGAGACATGTAGAGAAGAGGCCGAGCGACAAGAGGAACTTGTTGGCTGTCACGTGAAGCCTAGGCGGCTGTGTGACTGGCGTCCTTAGGTTTCAGTTGGGTGACCCTGATGCACCGACAGGCTTAGGTTTGGGGGTTAGCTTTTGCAGGCCGTCACCGCATTAGGGGCGCCTCAGTCTGATGGCCGCCTTGTGTAATTCATCTAACACCATCAAGTGCCGTAGGTGTTCAGGGCATTGGGAAAACCTTGGTTAACACACTCAGGATTCCTTCTTGCTAGCTGAGCACCTAGTCAAGGTGCACACCTACCCTCCTCAGCTGCCTGGACCTGTTGGCGGGGCGTTGGCAATAGAGGTATGTAGGCTTGTACTAGAATATTCGTTAGCTCTAAGGGTGCCCATAGACACCAGAAAGCCCAGGGAACTGTTTGGCAAGGCTTTGGCAGAGAAAACGGGAAGCAGCTAGTAAAAAGGAATATGTTAGCGAAAGAGAAAAGAAGGGTTAGAGTGAGGGAGAAAAAAATGTGTGCTGTAAATGGAGATGGGACTTCGTGGCTGAAGGGGGTGGCTGAGTGGGACGTGACCTGTGGCCTGTCCCTCAGACATTCAGGAATTTCAGTGGGAGAGGGAGTCGCCTGGTTGCTGCTTGTCACCTCCAAAGGCAGCCCTGGGTGGGGTCATTTTTCTTAGGTGAGTAGTTGTGTCTCAGAAAGGCCTTTTCTGTTGGCAGTAGATCGAGCTTTCTCTACTTGAAGAAGAGGAGAACCTCTTCCTGGCCCGTAGATGTAGGAAATGTCCAAACCTATAAAGAAGTTTTATGAGTTTATTGGAGCCAAACTGACAAGAACTGCTGGGAAGGAAAATCTCAGCAGATTGAGAAAAATGCCCCAGGGAGTGGCAGTTTTGCAGCTTATTTTATACATTAGAATCACAGGAGGGGACTTACGGAGGGTCCCATGAAACCCACGGGTGGTGGGTTAAGGGGGCGGGAGGAAGCAAAGCCGGGACATCTCTGGGATTGGATAAAAGGCAACATGGAGGCACGCACACTTCGTTCTCATTGGTGGGTACAGGAGTGTATCATGAACATATGTGGGGAAGAGGATATCAAGGAGGCGTTCTGTGGCCTGTGCTCTGGCGTGGGCGTTTGTGCCTCTGAGGTTAGGAAAAGGAGATGACTCTGACATTGCAAGGGTATGTCATCCTAGCTGCGTAAGAACAGTGTGCAGAGCTCCCTGCAGATACAGACTGACCTGTGCCAAGGGAAGACCTACTGTGACCTGCCCAGTCAGGAAAGTGTGATCAGACCGTCCTGTGTGGATACTTTGGGTCACGGCTCGTCAGGCCTGCCATGTGGTTCCCAGGCTTGTCAGGCTTATTGCGCATCCCCTTTAAAATGTTTTCCTTCCTTCCTTCCATCCTTCCTTCCTTCCTTCCTTCCCTTCCTCCCTTCCTTCCTCCCTTCCTCCCTCCCTTCCTCCCTCCCTCCCTCCCTTCCTTGAAAGGGAGAGAGATAGAAACATAGATGAGAGAGAACATCGATTGCACGCCCCCCACTGGGGATCAGGCCCACAACCTGGGCCTGGGCTCTGACCGGGAGTCGAACTGGCGACCTCTTGGTTCAGGGTCAGGGGCTGAGCCACACTGGCTGGGCACACATCCCCTTTTAATTTATAGCCCCCAGCAGTCCTCTGGCCCTGCCAGCCTAGGTGTGTGGGAGGCCCCAGGCGCTGGGCTGAGTCTGGAGGCCCAGGGCGGGTGTGAGGTAAAGGCTTACCAAGGTTATGTCCCTCGGCCGGTAGCAGTGACCGGCTCTCGAGGCAGCTCAGCGCCGCAGAAAGATCCACCATCAGAAAAAGGAGTGAGCCCCCTATGCTCTTGTTAGGTGCAGCTGAGTGCATTGGCTCTTCCGGCCCATCTGGCTGCCCTGGGGGCTGTGATCCATGATGACTGAGGCTCACAGGGGGAGCGAAGGATGGACTCAGATGCTGGGTGGGGGTGGGGGGACACTTTGCAGGAGAATGCCCCTGTGCCCTCCATGAGTTCCCAGGGCCTGCTCGTCTGTGTACATACAGACGGAGTCGTTTCTCATGACGGTGCCGGCCCTCACCTGCGGCCCTGCCCTGGCCTGCGGGCCCTGCACGCACGTCCCTCCAGAGACCATGCGCTTCCCTCCGACCCTCATGGGCTCCCAGCTCCCCACCCCAAGATCATAACACACCCACAAGGTTTGCAAGTCCAACTATAGAAACGATACAAAATGGATACAGTGAAAAGTGATGCCAACACTCCCCATCGACCCGTTTCCCTGCCATTATCATTATTTGATTGGTTTCTTATCTATTTCCCAGCGTTTCTTTAGGCAGATACAGCACACGTAACTCAATATTCGCTCTCCTTTTTCATGTGAAAGAGCTACTTCATACACGGTCTGCACGTTGTCCCCCTGCCCCCAACAATGCGTCTTGGAGATCTTTCCCTGTCAGCCCACGAGAGTCCTCAGGTCCCGCGGTGGCCCCGCGCCCCACTGTAGGGACGCGGAGTTTGTTTAGCCGCCCGGCCCTCTGCTCTGTCTCACGGGTGAAACCTGCTTTGTGTTCCCAGCCTCCGCGGACCACCTGCACCTCCCGCCCACCCCTCCCAGCAGCCACAGCAGCGACTCGGAGGGCAGCCTGAGCCCCAACCCGCGCCTGCACCCCTTCGGCCTGCCTCAGACCCACAGCCCCGCCAGGGCCGTGCCGCGGGCGCCCTCCGCGCTCTCCAGCTCCCCGCTTCTCACGGCGCCGCACGTGAGTCCCCGGGCTCCTCGGGGCGGGACCCCTTCCCACCCCACCTGCTCCTGGACCTCCGGGGCTGCTGCTTGGGAGGACGGTTAGGCTCGGCCGGGATCACCTTAAAGGACGCTCTTCGGAAAGGCTGGTCAGCGCCCGGGAACACAGTCCTCTGCCTGTTTCCGTCACTGGTTTATTTTACAAAGCTATGGCCCGAGGAGTAAACATATTTTGTTTTTCTCCTCTGAATCGTATCACTCATGTTTACCAACCATGTAGGTGATACAACCTGCAATAGGACATAACTTGCTGTTTAAATAAGCAATCTTTGGCGACTCTCAGGGATTAAACACTTTGATGACTAAAGTCCAAAGTATATAGTTTAACCCCGTTCCCCCACCCCCTCCGGGATAGGACTTTTAACACAGTGACAAGTTAGAAATCATGACGTCATTCATGCTTAAGGGCACCGTCTTCCAAATAAAAAAATAAGGATAGATTATTAACTTGATTTTATACTGAGGAATCGATTGGTTTCTATTCAATCTTAAACATAATCAATTTATTGAATTTATCATGTCATATAGAGACATTTTAATGAAATCAGATATTTTAAAATTCCATGAGAATTCTCTATCAACCTAATTTTTAGAATTTGAATTTCGTCCCGGTAAGTTCTGTGGCCACATGCCTTTCTGTCACCATGACGACGGGCAAGGGGATGAATTCTTTCCGCTGATCTCTGCCTTCTCAACTCCAAGTCAACCCGGTCGGTGACGAGCGCGGCTTTCATCCTCTGTGTGTCCCCCAGGCTGTCCCTTCTGCACGCTCATGGCGGAAATCCTTCCGTGTCGCACCCTTCTCAACAGCCGGGCTGTGTTTCCCGATGACCTGTTGGTCAAGCCCTAGTAACTCTACTCTGTACTGGCCCCAGCCCTCTGCAGTTTCAAGAACTCCTTCCCCACTCTGGACAGAGCAGCATCATTACTTTTCAGTGTACTGCCTTTTGCTTGGAACGCCCCCTTGTCTCGTGTAAATCACCCCCTTTCCTTCAGGAGGCCCAGTTCAAGTCTCACCCCGGACCATATGCCTTCCCTTGTCCAGTGAACTCATCTAAGTGTTGTTTCTCCACACTGTTGACGCACCTTGAGTGCGTGTTACAGTTCAGCATGCTCTCGTCCTTTCCTCTGTATCAGTTCAGTCTCAGTGTTGACGAGAAGCTCGTGGAGACAGAGTTTATTCTGAGTCCTCCATGGCATTCAACATGGAGCAAACACACTGGGTGCTCGCGTGTTTGACGGACGATACGCACGTCCTTCTCCGGTGGGGTCAATGTGATGAGCGCGGGTTCTCGTCTTCACTGACGATGGGTGGTCTGGGGCTGGAATGAGGCCAGGAACTTCCATGGAGTGTGTGGGCAGGTGCAGCCCCGGGGCCCTTAGCAGGACGTGGGGAACAAGAAGCAACCCCCAGTATGCGGAGAGCATCTTGCGAGACTGCGTTTTCAGGAGGAGAGCAAAGCTCTGTTCCACAAGTGGAGTTCCACGCAGATCCTTCCTCACCCCAGGCCAGGGCATCTCTAGGGATGTGAGAAACCATCCGGCCTTTACTTTGGACATTGTAGCTAATGGGACATGATGGGGGAGGTTTCTCTCCCTTTCCCTAGAATTACAACCCTTGGGTCGCCACACTCACATGAGAGTGTCCTCTCCATCTCTTCTTCCACCGCAAAGTACTCATCACCCAGAGCAGCTGGGCAGCCTTGTCTGGGATAAGTAACAGTCTCCTCCCCCCAGGAGGCGTGGCCTCAGGGTGCCCAGCTGTCCTTCTCTGACCCCTTCTGCTCCTTGGTTCGCACAGAAACTGCAGGGCTCAGGCCCGCTGGTCCTGACCGAGGAGGAGAAGAGGACCCTGATCGCCGAGGGCTACCCCATCCCCACCAAACTGCCCCTGACAAAATCCGAGGAGAAGGCCCTGAAGAAAATCCGGAGGAAAATCAAGAACAAGGTGAACCTTATTCAAGTCTCTTGTACTTCTGTGAGCAAAGACCATGAGCAAACTTGGGCTCGGGTGCCTTCCCTCCCTTCCCACCGGCCGGCACGGGTCGTCCTGGCCCATGGTGGGGCCCGGGGCTCAGCCCTTCTGTTCCCCTGGGCCAGGAGCCCAGGCATAGTCACCTCTTCACCCTCTCTCCTCCGGGTCCGTGGACCCCCCATTCGGGGTGCACATCCTTGGTGCCCTAGATAATTCATTCGGGGGGCATTAGAACTTTCATATACATCATTTTAAAAAATCTCAGCCTTTGACATTTCTGTTTGGATATACACAATATTTCCCTCTAGTAGGGCTGTCTGCAATTTATTTATTTTAATTATTATTTTTTCAATGACAGTTTACATGCAGTGTTAGTTTCAGGTGTACAGCATAGTGGTTAGACAATCACGTACCCTACAGAGTTTCTCCCCGATACTCCCAGTCCCCCCACCTGGCGCCATACGGAGTTATCATAGTATTTTGGGCCATATTTCCTAGGCTGTACGTCCCGTCCCCGGGACTGTGTCGTAACTACCAGTCTGTACCTGTCAATTCCTCCACCTTATTCACCCAGTCTGTCTGTAATGTATAAATAAATATAAATACTCATGGTGCTTGCTTAATCTTTAAAAAATTTTTTTATAAAACATTTCTGCAGACCATTGTTCTGTGTTAAACTGATGAGTGGCCACGAGCGCGCGTAGCTTCCGTGCTTCCTCTCTTCCGTTGACACATGTCTGGCTTTCTGACGGAGGGGGGCTGAATCCTTGTCTTCTCCCCTTTCATCTCAGATCTCTGCGCAGGAGAGTCGGAGAAAGAAGAAAGAGTACATGGACAGCTTGGAGAAAAAGTAAGTCTCTTGCCAAACTGGTTGCGTTTATTGGGCAGCACCCCCAACGCCAGTGTGCCCAGCTCCTGCTTCCCTTGAGAAGCCGCCCAAGGCCTCGCCCGGGTTTATCCGCTGTGTTTCACCTGCCACCTAGTGGTCTTTAGAGGGGAAGCTTATATAATGGAAAGAAGTCCAAGTGCACTCACTCTTTAAAAAAGAAATTAAGCCCTGGCCGGTTTGGCTCAGCGGTTAGAGCGTCAGCCTGCGGTCCACAGAGACCCGGGTTCGGTTCCCGCTAGGGGCATGTACCTTGGCTGCAGTTTGTCCCTGGCCCTGGTTGGGTCGTGTGGGTGGCGGCCACTCGATGTGTCCCTTTCACATCGATGTTTCTCTCTCTTCCTCTCTCTCCTTCCCGTTCTATCTGAGTAAAAATTGGAAAAATGTCCTCGGGTGAGGATAAAAAATAAAAATAAAAAAGAAATTAAATGGTCTGGCTGGTGTGGTTCAGTGGTTGAGCACTGACCCATGCACCAAGAGGTCACCGGTTTGATTCCCGGCCAGGACACATGCCCGGGTTGTGGGCCCAATCCCCAGTGGGGGGAATGGAGGAGGTGGCCAATCGATGTTCTCTCTCATTGATGTTTCTCTCTCAAATCAATAAAAAAAGAAAAAAAATTAGATGTATTTGATGACAGTGGTTAATAAGATTCTATGAATTTCAAGTGCACATTTCCATGCTACATATACTGTATGTTGCATTGTGTGCCCACCACCCAAAGTCAAATCTGTCACCACGTATTTGATCCCCTTCCTCCTTACTCCCCCCGCCCCCTTCCCTCTGGTAACCACCATACTGTTGTCTGTGTCTGAGTTTTTTATTTGTTTGTTTTTCTTGTATGTTCTGTTGCTTTCCGTTTTATAACCCACATGAGTGAAATCCTATGGTTCTTGCCTTTTCCTGTGTGACATGTTTCCCTTAGCATGACATCCATCCAGGCGCCCAATCTTAGCAGGCAATTGGACCACATCCGTTTCCAACCCCAAATCCTCGAGTCCTCGAAGGCTTTCTTTCAAACAAGTACAAATACTAACATCCCCGCCCCCTGGAACAGCCGAAGGGAGCGGAGCTGACTCATTGGTTAACCCAGCCAGACCCCTCGCACCCTAGAGAAAGCAGACAGGGAAGAAAAGGTCGGGGTGTTTATATTCTACCCGCTGTAATTCATGCTGCAGGTGAGAGACTCTTCAAACATCTGAAGGCAGCTTCTGCTCCGTGCAAAACCGGGAGTATCAGAAGGTTGTTAGGAAAATACCAATCAAATACGAGTTTGCCCTGGCCCTAGAAAATAGCTCTCTAGTCGACAAATGAGTAACATTTTAGATGGGCATGAGGCCCCGGGTTCAGAAAAGAATCTTTGTGTGAACCCGGGGAAGGGAGTGGACAGTGGATCCTGGCCGGTTCTTGGAGTTTCTACTGAAAGTTAGTTTTCCTTCAGCAGCCCTGTTCTGTCCCAGCATCTTCTGCAGCAGCCAGGATCGGGATGTTTCTATGAAGATCTCTCTTTTGCCTCTTTGGGGTACGCATGCTCCGGCACCCGGATGCCTTGTCTGAGGTCCTGGGTGCTTCTCTCCTCCTGCCCGGCTATTAGCCTCTTGGCTTCCGATGAGTCCTTCTGGCCAAGAGCACAGCCAGCGACGCCCAGCCCCTGTCCAGAGAGATGGGGTGCGCTTTGAGAGTGGTAGGGACGAGGTGAGCGGACACAAGGGTGGAGCACCCTAGAAGAAGTTCACGTTTTGTACCATCTTGTTCATTTCCTGTTACTGAGGCACTGGCTACTCAAGTCTCTTTTCCTTCTCCTGTCTCCTCCCCCTTCTTCCCAGCTCAGTTGGACAAGCTCTTCCCCCACCTTCCTGGAGTAGCGGATTCCCCGCCCTCTTTCTCTGGCCCCCACAACCTCCACCTGAGCCCCCGGCTCCGCCTTGCTCTGCCGATAAAATGAGTTTGCTGCTTTCTCTCCCCGGTGTAGGGTGGAGTCTTGTTCAACAGAGAACTTGGAGCTTCGGAAGAAGGTCGAGGTGCTGGAGAACACCAACAGGTAAGTGTTGCCGGAGTGAGGAGCTTGATGGGAAGTGGGGGGGGGAGATCCAAGAGCAGAGGAAAGTGGAGGAGATCACTCGGAAAGTGTAGCTGTGCCAGGATGCTCGGGACGGTGGACTATCACACCTGGGGTGAGACATATACACACAACACACACGCACACGATCATATGTGCACATGCAGAACACACGTGCACACACATGTGCACATATCCACGCACATTCTTTACTTTTCCTAAAACACGCTGGGCTGAGGAGGCTGATTCTGACAAGGGCTGTGAGGAGGGTTAGGGAGAGGCTTGGAGAAGAATGAAGTCCATACGCTTGGTTCTCCTGAGGACATCAGCCTTTAGAGCTGGGACCAGGGGGCACTGGCCACTTCCCTGTCACCCAATTTTAGTAAGAAACAGTCTTCATTAGTGGGGGAGAAGAAGAGGAAATCAAGTTTGTTTTTTTATTACTGTTTTAAAAACTTAATTATCTAATTCATTACATTTCAAACCCAATTTGAAACATAACTGAAGGACAGAACGGATTACCGAGGTTCTCTCGGACTCCCTGTGTCAGGCACTGTTAGCAGCACCTTCTGGAGAGAAACTCATTTAACCTTCCACCAGCCCTTCCACCTGGTCCTGTCACGATCCCCATGGCAGAGAGGAGGTAGCAGACTCAGAAAGGTCAGGTGACTGGCCCATGGTCACACGGTAAATGCTAGAGTTGCATCTGAGTGCAGACAGTCCGACTGGAGCCACCACCAAGGGTGACTGTGTTGAGCTTCATCGTGGGTCATGTGCAGGAGAAAGGGGCAAAGGTCTAGGGTTAAGAAGCAGGCAGGTGGGGAGTTTCCAACAGAGTGCGTGTGTTGGTGTGTACCTGGGCCACACCTGTGCTTTGAGAGTGAGGGGGTTCGTGAGGGGGGTCCTGTTGCTTCGTTGTCACAGCTTTGACAATTCAAGCAGGGAAAAATGGACTTTTAGGTAAGCAAAATGTTAATCATTTTAAGACCTAGCATTAATGCCTTCTAACAATGTTGCAAGTGCTCAAGGATCAGGTTAAATCTACTCACCTGTCGTTTCATATTAACATGATCACATCTTCATGGTTTGTTGCTCAAACAGCAGGCTGATTAACCGAAAATTAAAACACCATCAGGGGGGAATATCAAACATTGTGAACCCACAGCCTCTCCGTCTGTGTTTCTGGGAGCATGCACTCATAGAGCAGGTCCAGGCTCTGTAGACAGACGGCAGAAGTAAGTAGCTGTCACCGGCTCCATGTGGCATCACCTTGACCCCCTGAGACAAGGATGTTTCCAATACCACCTTAGGATTCTGGTTTCTGGGTTGCCTCTGGCCATTAGTCTCCTGAGGTTTCATCCTTTCTTATCTCCACCTTCACTCCTGCCAAAGTGGTTCTCTGGGTCCAGACCCCATCCCCCCAGGGTCTGTATCTATCTCTTTGGCATCAGGAGCAGGTAGGAGTTCCCGTGCCCATCCTAGCACTTTCTGTCTCGGAAGCCTGGTGTTCATGAGTGGGACAAGTTCAGGCCATGAGCTTGTGAAAGGGGAAGAGGAATCTATCCAACATAACCTTGGAGTTTGGTCCAGCTTAGGTCGTCTTGGGGCTTCGGGTGTCATGTCTTCACGGAACCACACGGGGGCAGCAGAGGCGCAGCATGGGCTGTGCAGGGAGCAGAGCAGTGGGTGCTTATGATAAGGGTTGGTCTCCTTCCCTCTCCAGGCTGACCTTAAAAAACAAACAAAATCCCCCACACATGGCCATGGTAAAGAAAATTAGAAAATACAATTTTTTCCCCTTATTAATAGTGTGTTTTTATTTATTTATTTATTTTTATTAATTAATTTTTGTTACAGATGTTTCTCCTTTTCCCCCCACTGATTCCCCCTCCTTCTCCCTCCCCGCCCTTTCCCCAGTTTGTTGTCCATGTCCACTGTTCATGCATACATGCATATAAGTTCTGTGGTTTATCTCTCCCCCACCACCCCCCTCTTTAGGGGATTGTCAGTCTGTACCCCACTTCCACGTCTCTGGGACTACCCCATTCCTCAGACTGTTATGTTCATTATATTCCACAAATAAGTGAGATCATATGAAACTTGTCTTTCTTTGTTTGGCTTGTTTCACTTAGGATGATACCTTCCAGGTCCCTCCGTATCATCTCAAAGGATAAGAGATCTTTCTTTCTTACAGCTGCATAGTACTCCATTGTGTATATGTACCACTGCTTTTTTATCCATTCGTCTACTGATGGACACTTGGGCTGTTTCCAGATCTTAGCTATTGTAAATATTGCTGCTACGAACATGGGGGTACATATATTCTTTCTGATTGGTGTTTTAGGCTTCTTAGGGTATATTCCTAGAAGTGGGATCACTGGGTCAAATGGAAGTTCAATTTTTAATTTTTTGAAGTAACACCATAGTGTTTTCCATAGCGGCTGCACCAGTCTGCATTCCCACCAGCAGTGTACTAGAGTCCCCTTTTCTCCACACCCTCGCCAACACTTGTTGTTTGATGATTTGTTGATGGCGGCCATTCTGACAGGTGTGAGGTGATACCTCAGAAAATACAATTTTTTTTTTTATTGCAACCTTTTTACCAAGACATATATTTACATTTTGGAATATTTCATACATTTTATAAATTTGGAATATTTCATACATGTATGCATTTCTATTGCACGTACTCTTTTGTGAAGAAACTTTTCCATTTACTAAAATGCACTGGCCACATTTCTCTCTCAAGAGCATGTGTCTCCAGAACTGTCAGATTGGATGAAGAGGTCCTGTCTCAGGGACCCTGACGTAGGCACCTGCCCGGGGGCAGCAGCCCGGGTTCGGCCCACAGTTTTGTCCTTTTAAATAGTGGCCCTGGCTATGTTATGATATTAAACGTTATGTACTATGAAGTATGGGAACGATGGCATATTTGAGCTTGGAGTCAGTGTATCTCGTGTTCTTCTCTGAGAGTCAGTGAAGGTTTTCCTTCTGTCTTTACGATGTGGAAACTTCCCAGTCACCGGCCAACGGGACCTCCGCCAGGGAAAACCTGCCTGGTGACGTGGTCTCCGCTCTGCCTCGGGCCTGTCAGGAGCCCCCTATTCTCCCCCCCGGAGGTCCCGTGTGTGCACTCCCCTTGAATTCTTCTCCCCCTTCCAGACTCACCTCTCCTGAGACACACACCGTCCGTGGTGATAATGGCTGATAAGTGATCGATCTGGAGTCTTCCCACATCTCTGATCAGGGAGCTCCCAGGGTGATCATTGCTAAGTCCAGCGGCTCCCAGTGTGTCTGGCTCACGGGGTCAGGACGTAGGCGCAGAGCTGCCACGGGGACCCCGGGTCTGTGCTCCCTGCCCCTGCTCCCCACCCAGGCCCCCGGCCCAGAGGACACCAGGAGCCCCTGACTGTGCTGTAAACCGGGCACCTCCTGCCCTGAACCAGCTGGTGTTTGGGCGTGTGCTGAGGGGAGACTTGGGGTCCGCACGTCACATTGTCTAAGTGACCCAGTGTTTGGAATAAGTCCAGGGCCAGGCCGAAGGAGCACACACCTGTGTTTGTGTTCCGTTTGTGCTTCGTGTACCCTTGTCCTTTGGAGGTAGCTGGACGGAGGTAGCGGTGACCGCTAGGAGAGAGTGAACCCCAGGCCACCAGAAGTGGGACCGGACATCTGGATGCCGTGACATGACGGGAAAGGCGAATAGTCCTGTCGTCATTGACCACACGAAGGAACATATTGTACTTCTGCACACTGCACAGTTTCTGTGTGGCACCTCACGGGGGCCTTCCCACCCCGACGACAGTGAGTGCTCAGATCAGTCAATTCTGCAGCCCCTGGTCTGGCCCGTCCGCAGCGGCAGCCACCTCGCGGAGTATTGGATTCTAGGTGAAAAGACCCTGGTAGCTGAGCTCAGGCAACTGGGAGAGGAGGGGACAGGAGGGCAGACGAAGTCCCCTAGATCCTTCCGCAGCCTTACCCCGGAGCCCCTGGAGCAGGCGAGACCGTGTGAAGGCGCCTTCGCACTTCCTTTGCTAAGGTGACCCACTAATTGCATGCCCCCCGGAAACGTGTGAGATGAGAGCGAGGGTTTCCCAGGGGGCCCTCCCTCCTGTGCTCGATCAGGAAACACATTTTCACTTACAAAGTGTAGGCGAGGCCCAAGTGCGGCTGCCCAGCATCCTCCTGGCTTCCCGGTGCTTATCACTCGCCCCTCGCCCCTCGCCCCTCGCCCCTCGGAGCTGCAGGCTCCCTGGCCCTGCCCTCGGCTCATTCCTGAGAAACCCTGCCTGTCCCCCTTTGTCTCCGTCTCTCCGCACAAGTGACACGCACGCCCTGCCTAGCCCAACACTGTTAGTATTCGTGGCTCAGTTCACTTGGTCATTTTTATTTTGCTGTGAGTCCCTCTTTGAGCCCTGATTTGTGGAATCCCAGGAGCTGAGAAGTATTAGAGATCGTCCTATTTAACTTCTAGTCACTTCACTTCACAGAAGGAGAGACTGAGGCCCAGTGAGGTTAAGGCGATCCAAACATTTAGTGGTAGAACGGGGACTAGAACTCAGCCACTGAAGTTTTAAACGGGTCCTTGCCTTCGATTCTGTGCTGTGCCACCCTCTCCTGCGAGGACACCGCCCTTCTGAAGCCCAGGGCCAAGTTCAGTCCTGAACAGGAGGGTTTCGGCCTCAGGTTTGAGAGGACCCAGCTCTGCACGGGAAGAGCGGTCAGCGGGACCTCTCTGCAGCCACGCCCCCTGCACGGGAAGAGCGGTCAGCGGGACCCCTCTGCAGCCACCCCCTCTGCACGGGAAGAGCGGTCAGCGGGACCCCTCTGCAGCCACGCCCTCTGCACGGGAAGAGCGGTCAGCGGGACCCCTCTGCAGCCACGCCCTCTGCACGGGAAGAGCGGTCAGCGGGACCCCTCTGCAGCCACGCCCTCTGCACGGGAAGAGCGGTCAGCGGGACCCCTCTGCAGCCACGCACCCT